CCCGCCCCGGACCTCTCGGGAGGAGCGGCCGGCAGAAGTTCGGGCCCGCGCCGCCCGCCCGCCGGGGAAGCACGTGAACTTGGAGAAAGTCGCGGGGCGCGCCGGCCCGGACCTCCGCGGCAGGGCGTGGGCGCCCCCGGCGCGGCGCGCTTTCGTTTTCGTCCCGGACAAAGGTCCCTCGAGGCGCTAGTCTCGGATGCGGAGACCGGGTTCTGCCGGCCGCTCCTCCCGAGAGGTCCGGTGGTTCCGTACGGGCAAGCCGGAGTCGCAGAGGAGGAGCGGCGCGGTGCGGGACCGGGAGAGTGGGGCCTGGCCGTGCGCTTCGCCCGGCCGTCTCCGTCCCGGAGCCGTCCCGCCCTGCGAAGAGTTGCGGGAGATGGCACCGCGCTGCTCTCTGCAGTTCGCACGCGTGAAGGAGGGAAGCGTTTGGGACCCAGGACGCATACCCGTCGCTCGCCCGGGGCCTGTGCGGTGTGGGCACCACAGCGCAGCGCTGGCTGCGTCCGGGCGCGTTCCTCCGGCAAGGGCAGTCGACCTGCGAGTCCCGGGGTCACCATCGGGTTCCGGGCGACTCCTGAGGATGGTAAGTGCATTTCTCACTTTCGCTACTTAGTGAGTATTTAAATATTAATGAAGGGATTTCTAAGAAGAGCCTGTAGGGCAGGCCTTCCACAGACGGAGGAGGTTGCTCTTGAACCTGAAGCCTGGCCAGCTTGGCAAGAACTCCACGGGGCCGTCATTAAAATACAGGAACTTGGAATTCGTGAAATACAGCTCCTGATCTCAGGTGTGCGGACCGTTTGCCAGAGAGAATTTTGTTGAACGCATAAAGTAAATAGTGCTGGCAGGCGTCTTAAACAGAATAGAAGGAAAAGAGAAAGCATCTGTTTTTAGGTTTGATGCGATTGGAAGGGTTATTTGGACGCTGGGATCGCTTTTTTTTCTTTTTTCTTTTTTTGGAAAAATTGACATCTTTCATTCCCTCCTACATCAGGGAAATTGTTGCTTATTTATTTATTTATTTATTCCTTTATTTATTCCTTCTTTCTGCTGGTCAAGCATTTATGGAGAGCCGATTTAGGGGGCCCTCAGTCAAGCGTTGGCAGCCGCTGGGCCCAGCAAGTGAAAGGCCCTTGTGTGGAGGCTCTTGTTTATGGTGGCATAAAACGAAAAACAACTCATAACTTTTCGTAATAAATCCCCCTTTATAGGTGGCTCCCACACAGGCCCAGCCGGCGGCCCTGGGGAGTTTGTGGGGAGCGAGACATGGGTGAAGGAATGCGCGTTTGCCGTAATTACAGGGTTTTAAGGTAACGCTGAAATTAATTTCTTCAAAGTTGGCTTTCAGAAGCCAAGGCGGTCTCCACAGGCCAGCACTGTTCTCATTGCATTTTCGTTCGTTGGTTCTGGCCATTTGGGATTTTCAAATGCATACTTGCACTCTCATATACCTATCCCGTTAAAGTGAAACCCATGGCGGGGTGGGGGGGGGGTGCGGACTGAGCCAGCTTTTTAACACCATTGTATCACAGGTGTGATTTCCCCTCTGCTCTCCCCATCTTATTGATGTGGTTTGGAGAACCTCGCCGGGTCCTTTGACCACAAAATAATGGGCAGTGGGGGCCTGTTTCCATAACACCCCAGAGTTGCAAGCTGGCTCCTGAATGCCGTGTTTCCGGGAACGTGGATGGAGGCCTGAGTAGCCCAGGCCTGCCTCACGACAACCTCTCCCCGGGCTGCCTGGTTCCCTAGAGCCCAGAGGAAAGAGGAGACCACCTCAGTAAGATCTGGCCAACCCCGGCACAGAGGCTGGAAGTTTGCTTCAGGGCCGTAGAATGGACCCGGCGGCCGTCTTTTCTGCTAGGCCCTCATCTTCCTCTCCCGAGCCACCTCCCCACCTCCTCCGTTTTGGATTTTTATTTATGACTTTACGAGAGGCAGTTAGGAGCCGTGAAACCCGGGTGGGCCCTTCAGGAGTGATCTCGGGGATGGGGGCGCAGAAATGGAGCTGCTGCTTGGCGTCGGCGGTGACCGGGTTAGTAATTAGAAAGAGCTCGAGTTCCATCGGATCCTCGCCTGCAGAACGCAGGAGATGTTTTCCCCAGGTCCACGGAGGACCTGTAACGCGTCTCACGATGGGCAGGAAGGTGTGGCCTCCTGCTGAGGCTCCTAGGGAATACCCCAGGATTAAACCAGACCCCCGAAGAAGGGGTATCCGCTGCTCCCTCTCCGGGGGCCTATGGGAGCAGGGAAAGGCTGAGCATCCAAGGAGGCACCCCCAGGGCCACTTCGTGGGGGCTTGCTATTTGTCAAAGCTGCCAAGGCCCATCTCCCCCGCCAACGTGTGCCCCTGGCGCATGGAATGTGATGGGCTTGAGAGTGTCTATAGTAAACATTCCCCCCCCCCCCCCCCCCCCCCCCCCCCCGGGAAGAGGCACTATCTCAGCACCAACGCTGTCCTGTCTTGCCTTTGTCCTTGATTCTCAGAGCCAGCCCAGTTTCAGTGGAGGCTTGGGCCCCCACCAGGGGCTTCCTACCATGTTGGGATAGCCCATCCAGGCACGTTTTATTTTTGAGGACATGCACACCAAAGTCAAGGTTCCAAAAACGAACTGGCGCCCGTCTGGTTTTTGTCACTTCTGGATTTAATAGGAAGAATGTGCTAAGCAGGGGCATAGGGACTCGTGGACTGTGGTGGGCGAGTGGGAGGATGGCCCTGGTATTTCCATTTTTGTTTTAAGCCGGGGCCAGCCCTGTAGTGTTTTGTCGCCTGTACTTGGGGCTGTGTCACGCCCAGCCTTTGGCCGCTGGAGGCCCCAGATCCTGGGCGATGGGTCTCCGGGGTGCTGGTGGGGGCCAGCTGCTCAGCACAGGCAGTGTGTGGCGAGGAGGTCTCTGCCGTGACCAGGTTCCACGCGCCACCTGAACAGGCGCAGACGGCAGTTTGCTTTGCTCAGTGGGAACAGCCGGGAGGTTTACAGCAGGATGACTTTGGGCTCTGTGTGGTTTGCACCTGATGGGGCCGTCTGTGACCCAGTCTTGCTTGCTCTCGTCCTCAGAAGGGTGTCGGGCCAGGGCCTGTTCTGCCCTGGTGTGGATGAGGCCTGAGTGGAAGGCAGTCCCTGGGGCTGAGAGAGGGTCCGGAGGGCTTTGCCTACCCTGCCGGGCGCTCTCTCTGAACAAGCACTCCCTGCTGTCCAGGGAAACCAGTGTTTGGGGAGGGAGGGAGGGAGGCCCTTGCGGGCCAGCCAGGAAGACAGCTTAAAACCATCATGCTTGGTATTCGTTGGGCTTACACGGTGTGCTTGCACATCTGGGGAGAAGGGAGGATACTCTTGCAGGCACCCCGTTAAAAGGGGGTGTCCCGGCTCACATCGGGCAGCTCCAGTCCCGTCCTTGCCCCTGGCTCACTGTGTGACCCGGGACAGGGCATATCCTTGTACCCCGAGTCCTGTACCCCAAGTCCTAGAGCAAGAGCAATAAATCCCACCTCGGAGGGTCGTTGGGAGCGTCCAGGCACCGTGAATTCCACAGAGTACGGTTCCTGGCACGTGGCAGGGAGCCATACATGGCTGCTGCTGTTGTCATTGTTATTGTTACAAATGGTCATCGCCATTTTTATTGCTAGTGACGATTATATGTTTGAGTTTCTAAGAAACGGGGAGTCCGGTTTTGGTTTCTCTAGAAAGGGCACCTACAAGTTCACTCCCCCGCCCCGCAGGTGGTGGTGCAAATGAACTTTGATATTTCCTATCTGGTAGACCGCGAGGAGCTTGCAAATAGGGCTTTCCTTCCCACGGGGACCTGGCTAGGATGCACTGGGGGCACTAGAGGGGAGCAAGGCCTCTGGAGGTCCCGGGACGTGCTCCCAGAGGAAGGCGTGGAACCTCCTCCCCGCCCCGGGAACGGCATTTGAGGAGGTCGCTTGGGCGCCGACCCCAGGCTCTGACGTGTGCCCCTCACCTATTCAGGGTCTGGGGGAGGAATGAAGGCAGGATGTCGCGACTCGGGGGTCCAGAGTGGCCACAGCAGCTGCCAGCATCTTGCTGGCAATGCGGCTGGCGATTTGGTGGGAGGGTTTCACCACTGATGAGCTAATTGCTTTTTGGCCGAATACGAGCATACGTTCACCAGAACACTTCGCTGAGGAGAATCTTGTCTCTTCGCTGATGGTTCAGGAAGACCCAGCGAGATTGGCCTTGCTGAAAACATGTTGTCCGAACAAGAAAGGAGCCTGGGCGTCCTGATGTTATGTGGCTGAGGACCGAGAAAAGGCAATAACTGTTCTCAGGCAGAGACAATGGATCTTTTATACGAAATGCTTATTTCCAGGGCTGACCAGTGTCCCGTTGGCTTGGGCCGGCAGAGCTCGAGTATCTGGGTATCACAGGCCCTCAGAACCCAGTCAGGGACCGAGATTTATAGAAAGGGAAAAGAGAAAGCCCCCCTGACCCATGGTTCTTGGAAAATCCAGCGGGAACGTCTGGCTTTCTTTGTTGAGCGGAGGCTAACTTTCTCAAGTTTAATTTTTCCCTTCTGTGATCTCTTTCTCAAGGGTGCGAGGGCACATTCGCAAGCACCGGAAAGGTGGCCAGGTTTCCAGGTGTTGGATGGTGGGGGCTGGAGGGACCCTCCCTTGGGCTAGACCCCGTTGGGCCTTTGTCTGCTGGAGGTGATGGGTAGTCCAGGGCAAGTGAGGAAAATCAGGACTGTTCGAGGAAGGGTCCGTTCCCGGAGGAGGAAGCCATCGAGGGCGATTTTGGGTAATATTTGTGACTTTCTGGGGCCCTTTACTCCTCCCAGAATCCATTCTCCGATGAACTCGGGAGGAGTCTGCAGGCTGTCAGGGAGTCCGGCCTGCCACGGGTAAGCCGCACGCTAACCCTCACGCACCCTCGCTGGCCGGAGAGGGTGTGTTTGTCACTCCTGACAAACCGGCCCGGAGTCAGCACTGGACGGACGTTTTCTGAATTACTAAAATGAACAGAACTTCCCTCTGACGCTTATCTAGTAGCCATCTCCCTCTTCCTGCTCTGTGGGTAGGGTCCAGCCCCGTTCCTGCTAAATCGCCAGGAAGGCGCCCTGAGAAGCCAGGCCCGGCTCCCAGGCTCGAGTTAGGGGCTCGGAGGAACGGATCCGCCTGGGGCCGGGAATGAGAACGTCTTCCTGGCGTTGGGGGTCGTTGGAAAGGCCGCGGGGGATAATCGGCCTGGGCTCCCTGCCAGCTGAGGGGGTCCTCGGCCTGGACGCCCCTTCGAAGCGGGTGAGGACAGGGGAGGGAGTGGCCCCAGTCCGGGTGAGGGATGAGAGTCCGCTCCCTGCCAAGCTTCCCCTTCCCCCGTGAGTCTTTGTTGGCAGATGATAATATTTGGCTTGGCGTTCAGAAAATGAAGTTTCGTTTTTTAAAACTGCTTTTACATCCCCCTTATTCTTTTTTTTTTAATTTTTTAAATTCTGGGACCGCTCAGCTGTGGTCTGTTTACCCTGACCCCCCCAAAATGCTCTGAAGAGATCTCTCTTTGGGGGGGAGGGGGTGACCAAAACAACTTCTGAGGCCGTGTGGGTGGGATTGGTAAAATCTAAGTGGGAAACACTGGAATGGCGTGGCATGAGGCAGAAAACCCTCCCAATACAAGCTTTCACTCGGTGGGGGCGGCTTCAGGAGTCAACGCTGGACTGGGAGACAGTCCTCGCTGTGAGATTCCAGATGGCAGGCTTGTTTGCATCGGATTCCGGATGGGTCAGAAAGCCGTGTGGCCACCGTAGTGGGGCCCTGGAACACGCGGCCGGGCCTGCTGCCCCGTCCGTGGCCGAGAGGTGGGTTCTCTGAGTAGACCTGTGAGCCGGAGAGGCAAGGATTATTATTTGTCAAGTGATTGGCGGTTGTGGTTGGAAACGTGTGCCCGGGATGTACGAAGTGAAACGGCCTTTTCTTTTCTTTTCTTTTCTTTTCTTTTCTTTTCTTTTCTTTTCTTCTTTTCTTTTCTTTTCTTCTTTTCTTTTCTTTTCTCTTTTTAAGGGAGGGATAGAATTTTCCTTCCGAATTGAAACAGGATTGTTGTCCCTGATGCCTTTGGCTTCTAAGGCCAGGGCTGGGTTTTTCGGTGAAACGCCCTTCCTTCATTCTGGGATCTCCAGTGGCAGGAAGAGCGTTTGGCTGAACTATTTACCTGCTGGTTTGGGGCTCTTAAATCTTGATTCGCCTTTCATGTATTTCACGGCGATATTTACATTCAAATCAGCCTGTTATAATTACATTTTAAATTATAATAAAACGGTGGTGCGGGGCTCGAGTGTTCCTTATCTTGGAACGTCAAGAGACTGCAGCGAATCTCAGGCAGGTTGTTCGTCACGTTACCCAGACCTGCCCGGCCACCCTGACTGATGTGTTGTGTCCTGAGACCCATGCTGGCTGCAGGCCTTGGGGTGGAGGCCGTTCTCTCCTGGGCATCCAGCTGGCGCAGCAGAGGCCACTTCTGGCTGTGGCGATACTGTGCCAAGCTGTTCCTGGAATGGAATCCCTGGCGTTCCTGGTCAGGCGCGTGGCATCAGAATCCTACCTGCTTTGTCTCTGGCATCAGCTGTCGAGCTGGTCACGTGGCGGTGTGCGTGAGACCAGAGCCCGAGGACCAGAGGGCTCCTCCTGGGCTGCTTCCTTCCTGCTCAGTCGCCTCGCCCCTCCACCTCCTTCTTGGGCACCACCGGATCCGAGCTTGAGCTCCCGTCCCCGGTTGCTCAGGTGTCCAGACAGCCCCTTACTCCCAGGCGCTGCCGACACGCCCATGAGCCGAGGCGGCAGGCCCGGCCACGGTCAGTCCACGCTGTACCCCCCCCCTGCCTGGGGAGCCCCCATCTCACCCTGACAGCCCTGGGGCTCCCCAGGCACAGGGGCGGCAGGTGCCCGGCCACGTAAAGGGCCGAGGGAGAGACTTGGGCAGACAGAGTGGCCGCGTGGACGTGGCCCGGCCGCCTTCGGCGGAGGCCAGCGGAGTCTGATAAATCTCCGAATAAGAGCACCCCGTTAAAAACCCTCAGGCCCGCTGGCCAGGTCTGAGGGCTGGAGCACGGGCACGCTTCGCCTTTGCCCCGTGTGGTGGCCAGGATTGGCTTTCATGGGGCCGAGGGGTCTGCGATGGTCTCAGAGGGTGTGGTGACGTGCCTGGACCCGACCTCATGGTGGCCTCGCGACCCCTCTGGGGCAAGGCGGCCGGCTGCCCGGCCCGGTGCTCGGCCCTACGTGTGCGTTTTTCATTCCGTCGTCCGGCAGCCCTGAGTGGTAGGAGCCGTCCTCCCTGTGCCTCCTGTGGCTGGGGAAACCGAGGCCGGGAGAGGTGGCACGGCCCCGGGGTCAGGTGGCCGCTCGGACACAAGGCCGATTCAGGGCCCGGGCTCCGGGCCGAGGTGGCACGGCCTCCCGGGGCGTCACTGGGACGGGCTCACTCCGTGGCCGGGCCCGGGGAGCTGGCCGGGTGGGGGG